GTTGGGATAGGATTGGGCGACAGCCGCCCTTACTTTCTCACAGTAAGCGCTGGCCGACTGTCCCTTCTCCTGTCGCAACGCTTTGAAGGCGGCCCGGTGTAGTTCCGCACGCTGAGCGGGAGCGAAACGGTCTTCTAGGGCCTGAGCGAGGTTAGCGATAGCGCCTTGACGGGTCGCCTGTGGGAGACTCGGGTAGAATAGCTGGGCGTCCCCGGTGAGGGACAACCCCAGGAATTGAGTTTGCTCGGCCGGCGTCCACTGGTTCACCGCAGCAACCTGTTCAAACTGGGCATACCATGCCGACCAGTTGTCATCTAGCCGACCTGCGTATTTGGCCGGGGTGGCCCAGTTGTGCACGTGGCGGGCGGGCGCCGGAGCAGCGGCGGCTGGTACAGCAGCTGGTTGAGCCATCACGTCAACGATTGACTAAGGGCCAGGCGGGTTACAAGATGAGTTCCGTAAACAGGTGAGTTCGAATCTGACAAATTTGATTGAACCACCGCTGCCACCAATGTAATGGGTAGCCGAGTGGTAGGCGCGGTGAAATCAACAAGAATTACTTTTATTCTACTTTCAGGTACACACCTGAGATATACTTATTAGTGAAAGAAGAAGCGGCAAAATAAATAACTTTCTCTCCGGTGCTCACCTAGAGGTTGACTCCTTCTTCTTCGAGTTAGCTTTCATTGCTATCTAATCTAATCTAATCTAATTAAAACAGAAAAACCGCAGCTGCTTTTATGCAGCAGACGCCGTACGCTTATATGCGGAGATACACTAAAATTAATATACATAAGGTCGTTCCGTATTGCTTCCGTATTACTTCCGTATCAGCCAGGCAGGGATACTACAAAACAACCAGCTGCTTGAGTGGTGGGGTGACTCTGAAACCATCGTCACCAAGGTTCAGCATCGGCGCCTCGAGTGGCTAGGCCATGTCGCCCGCATGGACGACGTGCGATTGCCCAAACAGTTGCTGTTTGGCACCCTGCCATCTCGTCGCCCGACACATGGCCCACGTCAGCGGTGGAAAGACTGCGCTGTAAAGGACCTCCGCTCACGAGACCTTGAAGCGGTCTGGTACAGAGTGGCCTGTGACTCTCGCCCAGACTGGAGGTGTGCTTACACCTTGGACGCCCCGGATCCCCCCGTACCGGCACCGGTGACTTGTTTCACATGCGCCCGGCACTTCGCACGTCAGGGCGACCTCGCTAGGCACAAGTGCACGGCTGAACGGCAGAAGCCGGTTTCGGAGAAGAGAGGTGCATGTCAGTGCCCTCGGTGTCATCGTTGGTTCAGGAGCCGCGGAGGCTTGGTTGTGCATCGTTTAGTGTTGAAACGATCTCACCTGGTACTCGTTAGCTCGCTCGCCAGAAACTCGGCTCATTTGTGCGGCCAGCTCGTTTGCACTAACGAACACCGTACACCGTACTCCGTACACATTTCAGTACATGTCGATCGAGGAGTCGTAAAATATTTTTTGCAACTCCCTGGTCGATCGAGAGTCCAGTCCCGGGCAAAGTGAAAATCACTCGCAGTTACACAGACTGTATGCTGGCACGACACTGAGTTGTTTCAGTTGTCGTTGCAGCTTTGGTGGACTCTACTGATGTCTTGTTCCGCATCTGCTAACCTGTCGCAGGACATGCTTCGGTCAACTCTGCATTCGAGTGAAAGTTACGCTCAGTCGTTTGGAAGTTTTCTCCCGCGATGCAGCGAAGAACAGGGCTACTTGCAATCTTTGCAAAACAGTCTATTCTTACAAAGGCTGCTCAACGATGGCGCTGAAAAATATCTCGACACCAAACAGTAGTCCGAAGTGAAGCAACAGGAACCCCAAAAGTCGGCGGTGATAATTTGAACCACATGAAAAAAAATCGAACTGTAATAGAAAAAATATTCAAAAAATCATAACCGTATTTTACCGGTTGTAAGTCGACCCCGGTTATAAGTCGACCCCCGTATCCGGAGGTCTCAGTTCTGCGTTTTAAAGTTATCACGCAACGACGCACTACAAACTACTCCCTGCTACTAACACACCAACAAATCATGTAAACATTCCTTATTGGAGGGTATAACGTCCCAATCCTTGAAAAAGGCCAATAAACTGGCACAAATGTGTACACACAGTGCACTCTTGCATGCAGTGCAGGTCATTTTTTTAAAGATACTGATAGTTCCCGGTTATAAGTCGAATCCCGGTTGTAAGTCGACCCCCACCCTTTTTCCTTCTATTTTTAGTCGTGAAAGGTCGACTTACAACCGGAAAAATACGGTACTAATTTTGTCACATCAATGAAACTCGTTAGCTCGCTCGATAGCTTGCTCGTTAGTGGAACTGATCGCTCGTTTGTTATAGATACGCTCATTTCAACACTAGCATCGTTGCTCCGCTTCTACCTCGTGCCCAGTACCGACCGAACCAGCTGCTGCTGTCACCGGTGACACTACCGCTCGGAGTTGCTGCAATGCTCACTGTGACACCTGCAATCGTTGTTTCCGCTCAACCCAGAGACGCAACCGCCATCGCTGTTCAACGCACTGCCACCGTCCAACGGCCAGAGAACGGGACTAGTTCCCGCATACAGTCAACTTCGCTAATAACGACTGCGGATATAACGACAATTCGCGAATAACGACAGAATTTCTATGCCCAGAGCAAAGTCACATCCAACTGTAATACATACAATTTTTACATACAATGGGACTTCGGGTATAACGACACTTCGCGAATAAGGACACTTTTCTGATGCCCCGCCGAGTGTCGTCAGGGGCGTAGGAGGGGATTTGGAAGTGGTCCGACCGAAGTTCGGTGCGGCCGAAGGCCGTGTTGGAGGGGGGTCCGGGGAACCTCCCCCGGGAAAATTTTGTAAAAAAGACACAAAATCCTGCGTTCTGGGAACTTCTGGCGCAGTGTGCAGTCGAGTCGAGTACAGTAGTGACTACATTTTTGTAGTGTCAGTACTCAGTACGACTGCAGATGCATAACAGATCTACGAGTAAGAGTCTAGAAAAAAGGTCAAAGTCTGATGCGCATATGTATCGATGGATCCTGATTTTTTTATTACGGTTTTGCACGTTCCGGACGGACCACACTTTTCGAAAAGTGGTACGGCCATGGTCGTACCAGTCGTAGCGGGTGCTACGCCCCTGGTCGTTATACGCGAAGTTGACTGTATGTGTATCTGCTCTCGCCGGTTCCGACTAGTCTCGCATCTGGAGCGCCATCGGGTGGCGCGCTCTTTCTCTCTCTCTCTCTGCTGCCCCTCCGGGGCCCACGTGACCCTAGTGGTAGTGGCTCTACAGGACAGGACAGGTGTGTGTGTGTGTGTGTGTGTGTGTGTGTGTGTGTGTGTGTGTGTGTGTGTGTGTGTGTCCCATATGGTGCAGTGGTATGTGCAGCGATTTCCAATCGATAGGTTGCGGGTTCGATTCCCGACGATTATGGTCGCACACGTCTTTCTTCTCTTTCTCAGACTCTTCCTGACTTTTCTTTCATTCTCCTGGGTGGTTACCAACAGCCAGTGTATGACGGAGTATGTGGTGTGGTGTGTGTGTAGAAAAAGAAAAAAAGAAAAAAATGGAAAAATGAAAAATAGGGATTCACTGGCCAGAAAAGTCACTTCAAACAGCTGTGTGGTGGATACCAGGCTAAAAATAGTGGCAGTCAATTCATCAATCATCAGCCTTGCAAGCTGTTGGATGGTGTAATCCCAGCACAAGTTGCTATGTCTAAAACATAGCTGTTCGCTATCATCGCTCCCGCGATGGGCATGTCTGAGGTCTGAGGTGTGTGTGTGTGTGTGCGTGTGCGTGTGCGTGTGCGTGCGCGTGCGCGTGCGCGTGCGCGTGCGCGCGTGTGCGTGTGCCTAAAATTTCAATACACCGAACAAGCACTAACACACATAATCCAATAGGGAACTGCTTCTCTGTACCGAAAATTTCTGTTCACCTAACCTAGCCTGTTGCCCTCGTACCGAAAATATTGAGCACCGAACATTTCTGAAATTAAAGTACTTCAAAGTATACGGTACATGTTTTCTCCAATTGACCTTTGAGCATTTGCAGCACTTCAAATGATGCTGAAGAAAGTGTCTGCTCCGAACGTCGGAGCTCGCGCTTCCTGCCGACTGACTTGACACTTGACTGACTCACGACTGCGTCTGGAGCACACGAGAAGCCCGTCGAACCTTCCACGCGGCAAACCTGCAAGAAAGCACCGCTCCCTGCTCAATACACAGTCGGCAGCAGGAAGCGCGAGCTCCGACGTTCGGAGCAGACACTTTCTTTGCCAATCACTGCCGATGTCGCAACATCTTTCGTACTGTTGCCCCTCGCGCGGGAATGCGACTAGATGCGGGTTGGAGGTGACAGCGTTGCGAATGGCAAATGGCCAATGGCCCTCAACGTCTGTTCTCACAATTCCATTTGCGACGCTGACTCATGCTGCTGCTGCCTGGCGCTCACGAGGCAATTGTTGCGCTGGAAAGCGGAGCGTCACTGTAGGTTGGTATCCCTAGTGAAGTTTTGGCTGCGAGAGCACTGCATAATCATGCAGTGCTCTCGCAGCAGAAATTTCATTAGCCTACTGAAGCTCAGCTGATGCGGGTTGAATTCCCCGAAACACTATGTATTGATCAGGGAGTGGTGCTTTTGCAGGTTTGCCGAGTGGAAGGTTCAACGGGCTTCTCGTGTGCTCCAGACGCAGTCATGAGTCAGTCAAGTGTCAAGTCAGTCGGCAGGAAGCACGAGCTCCGACGTTCAGAGCAGACACTTTCTTCGCTAATCACCGCCTGTGTCGCAACATCTTTCGTTCAAATGATGCTGATGCTGATACGGATCCAGCTAACATTACTTTACTGAGCCGATGGTCTAACCAATGCTACTAACCATGGCATGACACGTACTTCCCTGAAGCTCTTGCTCTGCACAACATTTTATCTGTGTGAGGAATTCAAGGGAAAAGCCTTTATTCTTTGTCCTTGTGTGATTTACTGTAGTTTGAAGACAACATCACGGCACTGAAAGCGTTAATCATTGGGTAGGTGCAGGTTCCTTCATCTCGTCTTGTGTTGTGTGCTTCCTACTTCGAAGTAGTATATAAACATCTGTATCGTACCCTGTAGTAGTATTTAATAAAGTTAAAATCTGCAGTCCTTCTTACTACCAGCGCACTTCAAACACGACTTTTCACGCACGCCAGTTACAGCAAACATTTTCAGAACGGCTTTCCGATGCTGACAAAGGTATTAGAGAACACGCCAGACAGTTGTTCCACCCTATCTTAGTGCTTACTACATGTACCAGTGCTGGTGTATATCATAGTACTTACTACCAGTGCTGGTATGGCACTAAGAGAGATCATGAATCTGGCCAGCACGTTTATACACTTGTGAATGGGATGCTGGGATAGTTCTATAGACTGGAAGTGCCGTTCAACATAGATTTCACTATAGTGTTGGTGCAATGCTGTACTGCATGTTCGGTAGTTGATGATCATCGGCTTGCCGTGGGCAGTTAGAACCCTCCGTACTGAAGCTGTAATGAGTTTTATAATGATCTGCAAATCAAAATTTGCACTTTTTTCAAAAATGCTAGTGATGTTTTTTTAGACAACCGTCAGTTTACAGACACATCCGGACATGATATGGACCACCTGCTACATGATATGGACCACCTGCTACAGTTCTATCTACTGTTGCGGACATTGAAATGCATTGAGAAGTCAAGTGGCCACGGGGCACTGGCCGTGCAGCCGCGAGCACTGCTGCTCCATTTTACAGTGATACAGTGTGTGTACTCGCTAAGCAAGTAAGGGTGCCGGCCCCGTCATTCCAACTCATTTCGATGTCCTCAACAGCCGTTAAAAAAAAACTTAAATTGTGATTCTCCCCTGAAGTCCTGCAGTACATGTACATGTATTCGTATCTTCTAACACTTTTTAAAGCCATTCATTACCAAATTCATTGTGAAAGTTGAAATGGTGACAGTCTCGCTCTTTATGTTCTTGTTCTACGCTCTTTAGACCGGCTGATACTCCATATGCGGACGGCTGCTTTGTATTTGACATATATTTTCCATCCAATTATCCGCTCAAACCACCACTGGTCAATCTTATGGTAAGCTTTCTCTTGCTGCCTCTTGAAAATATTCCACCAGTGTCTCCACTCTCCAGGCTATGGTGCCCTGTGGGATACGGTGAAACTCGGATAAGACGATGACTACAGTGAAGATCAGACTACAGTATGTATGTAGTTGCTGGAGGCTTGTATCATTGCCCGCATCCATGGAGATCGTGTACTCCAAGAGTGAATCTGCGCAAAATTGCTATCATCCATGCATACAGTGTACGCTCATATCTCTCTTATCCGGGCAGTCCGCGACCGGGCACTACCCATAGCTTAGAAATGTCCGTAAATATGAATCACATACGTTTTGGTGGGGAAGTGCCGGAGATGCTGGCAGTGTTGCCAACCACCCGTATTTGTCTGTATTTTTAGTAATTTTTTACGGAAAAACGAAGTTTTGTCCGCAGTACGGATTTCAATCGAATCATCCCGCAAACGATGATCATGTGTGATCAACTACTAAAAACTCCGTAACTCCATCGTTTCTTGTGCAAATTCAACAATCGAAGGATCTACGTGGTGGCGAAAACTCCAAGCTGTCCAATGCAACAATCGCCGAAGAGTTACGATGTTGCACTCCAGAGATATCGCGCGCCGTATTCAGGTGTTCTTACCTCGGCAAATTCAAATTTTTGATCGATCTCTTCGCCATTTTGGGGGGAAATCCCGTTTCACGTGCTCTTTGAGCGACTGAGCATATCATAATGATGTAGCCGGCTGAAGTTTGAATCACCTCAAAACAATTTGAGCGTTCTGCGATGAAGGAGGGTGGAGTGGTGTTGATGGGAGGAATTTGCTTGCATATTAGGCTTGGAGACGACTTTGCTGTGTTACTGCGCCTGATTTGTGGCGGCTTCATTATGGAGCTTGGTATCCTGGCGTTGCTCCTGCCAAGAGCTTTCCAACGAGCCCTAGACTTGTAAAAATCAAGCAAAGTAGACCAAAGTCATGACCTGGTGAAGTTGAAAATTGTACTGAATTCGTAGGCTTCACAAGTGAACTCTGTGGCTGGCAAAGTTGTACAGTATCGGGGTTTTTTTCCAAATTACACTAAATCAGTCAAAATGTTGACCTGAAAAACGAGTACGCAAAACTCTGAAAAATTCTTCAAAATGAGCACTGGGCAGTACGCATGGGGGAAGAGGTCACTTGGTGACACTGTGCTGGTCACTTTGAAGCAGCTTCCGACAGGCCTGCTTCTCCTTTCTTTCTAATTTTTGTGTGACCCTTCCTGAGGGCCGGGTTCCACTGCGGCTCTACGGCTCCGCTGCACTTGGCTGCATGCAGCGGAGCAGCGCAGTTCCACTGACACTTGCCATTCGCGGTACCACGGGCGTGCTCCACGTTTTTTTGATGACATGTTACCTGCATGCGCGCGCGGTCGCGCGAAATTAAAAAAAATCTCGTGTTCCGGCCCACACAACGAATTAAAATTTGAATTTTAAAATTCTCGTGTACAAAACAATGCAAAGTACGGGAGCACAGGTCGAGCCGCGACCACGGCTCGCAGTTTTTGATCAAGAATCGTAGCCAAAGCTCGTGGCGAGCCACGGCCTCGCTGCTCCGTCTCGAGCCGCGGTCACTATGGTAATGATGACGTTTCAAGCCGGAGCAGCGGCGCCGCGGTGGAACCCGGCCCTTAGACACCCTTAACCAATGCAATTCCTCTCAATCCTAATAATTAGTTTGTGGCAAAGGCAACGAATTGCAACCTTATGCCCAAAGATACCCCCAACTCGTTACCTTTGCCATCTTTCGTATTCCCGTACATATACTGTGGGCATTTTGCTGTGTTCCTGATTTTAGACAACTGGAAAGGGCCAAGTTCGATTCAACCCAAACTTGTATAAGTAAGCTTATTTTGACATTGTTGTAATCTTCATAATTCATGATATTGAATCTATGTATAGTCAGTCTCCTTTGGTGTATGTCTGGATTGGATCTGGTAGAGAGTTAGCCTAAAGCATAACGAAGATTGCAACGGCCATCTAGCTTGAAATGAAGTGGCTGACGTCGTTTGAGCATGCTTGGGGTGTGAATGGTACCTTTACTGTATCTTTCAGAAGGGTCTGGGGCTATGGAGTGAGCTTTTGATCTGGAGTATGTAGAGACAGGCAGGCATAGCAGGATGGTCTAAGACCATGATTAAGAAACAGAAGACACCAGGTTCAAGTCCTGCTTGGAAGCGGAAGGATTTTCCAGCCGTGCTGCGACCCACAGTTAATTGGGAACTTGTGGGCTGGCACGAGGGAAGCATGGATGCAGTGAATGGGATTTTTGGTCTTTGACCACTTTGGTGGGTCTGATCTCCTCACCTCCCACCGCTTTAGGAGCTGCATCTGCACCTTGATCCTTGAAGGGTGATGGCATTCCTGCGGATGCGGAAACCTCGGCCTCTAGCCAAGTCTGACGCGAACCGTGAAATATATAATAATACCGTAAAGTACCACCAGAGCACCCCACCATCTCGTCCTTTCGTGGTCGTATTGTGGAGGTGATCTCCTGCCTGCAGGTCATACGACACGAACCTTGTACACATATTACACATTCTGCAGTCAATCCGTACTCAGTTTACCTTCAAGCAGACACGAGCTCCACACAAAAACCGGCCAAGGGTGACCTTAGCATACTAAGGTTCTCATGCCGTAAAAACTTCGTTGCACTCTGCCATACGATTTTCTTTCCTTGGCTGTAAAATCAAGGTGGGGCGCTCTGGCGGTACTTTACGGTAATATTATAACTACAATCAATAAGACAAGCTGAATCAACATGTGTGTATACTTTATTCATGCAATGTAAAACGGTGGAGACAATGTACAATAAAATAATGAAAATAGGAAGAAATAGTGTAGAGAAAAATAAGGATTCAAAAAAGGTTTCGTACAACACTCATCAGGAATCGTCATTATACTCATTTTAATATTATAATTATTCTATATATGATACCGAACCATGATGACTGATGTACACGCAGAAAAGTTACTCCGATCAATAATTTCATCCGTGATTGATGAAACCGAAAGGCTGGACAAAATCATCATTAGCCTGGAATTAAGTTTAGTGACTCTGGAAGTGAAAAAAAGGAGGACAAGATGTTACGAGTTATGACGAACTGTCCACCAAGGTAACCAGATCTTATACAGTCAGCGAGTGTGACAAAATGGCACAAAACTGGCAAGGAGTACTGAGACATTTGGCGACCTGACACCTAGCTCCAACACTTCTCCAAGGCGCAAACCAACAACCTTCCAACTTGGAGGGCTCAAGTTCGGAAAGGTCCAAGAGGGGAAGGAAAGTGCAACGAAGAAGAGCACGAGCTACGCATCACGGCAACAAAGAATGCCGAAAGTTACTGGATGATGACGAAACTAGTACTTGAGTAAGACTATTGGACAGACTGGCCTTACTACAACTCGACGACGCAAAGCAACAGACCACCCAACTTGGGAGTGATGAGTAGCTCGTGCTCTTCTTCGTTGCGCTTTCCTTCCCCTCTTGGACCTTTCCAAACTTGAGCCTTCCAAGTTGGAAGGTTGATGGTTTGCACCTTGGAGAAGTGTCGGAGCTAGGTGTCAGGTCGCCGAATGTCTCAGTACTCCTTGTCATATTGTGCCATTTTGTCGCACTCGCTGACTGTATAAGATCTGGTTACGTTGGTGGACAGTTAGTCATAACTCGTAACATTTTGTCCTCCTTTTTCACCATAATTTAATTGGCTCACCATCCGACTCTGGAAGTCTTTAGACTAAATTCCTGACATTTTTCTGCTTTTCAGATAAATTATTTAAAATTGACTAATTTGTGTAGTGGTGTGCCAGAAGAGTGCTCAGGTTGTTTATACGGCTCTAACCGGCGCAATCTCTTTTTGACATTATCTGTTTTTGTGCATTACCAGCTGCGGGAAGGTCTGCTTGTCCTTGCTCAACACCTGGAATGGCGCAGCTGGTGAGTGCTCTGTCAGTCTAGTAATCACACTACAGGTAGACTGCCTTTATTTCGAGCCTCAAATATCCAGGCCCCAACTTTGAATTATCTGGAACTTCCTAAATTTTATCCAATTGCAGCCCATGTACATGTGTATCAAAATTCAAAAGGCTCGAAATTGCACGGTGAATATTTTTGCACATTTTATTCGCATCTGCACAACGTAGGTGGTCATGTACAATGGACCAGGCTGCACCAGGCATGTTCATTTCATCAAAACACTGGAAACAGAGTTATTTGACATTATCATTGTGTTCTAGTACCGGTATAGAAGTTGGCAGTTACTGCTGCTGTCCTGGAGAGATTTCAACAGGAAAGAAAGGCGCAGCCTAAACCCTGATATGAAAGCCCATCGGAGAGCGGCACCTCGTTCTGAAGAACGAAAGTAGAGCCTGAACATAAACCATTTTTAGGACTTCCAGTCGACAGTGATGTTGTTTGCAACATCTCCGCCCATGAGCAGGAACGAAATTTCATTGAGATCTGGGAAGACATCCAGCCACCTGGAAGAAGCCGTCCTCAATCAAATGTTTGCAATTGGTTTCGAATGCGCTGGACTGAGAATTTGAGACAAGGCAGGTTTCTTGAATGTTGTTGTTGTAGATTTGGGAGCAGACTTGCAGATATCGATTTTTGAGTAACTCTTGTCTGGAGAAGGCGAAATAATGAACTGTTCTTCTGTGCGTGCGTGCGTGCGTACGTGGGTATGGGTGGGTGGACTGGAATAGCCAAAACTCACCAACTACATGTGTACTGCCGATATGCACCCCCCCCCCCCCCCACACCTTGACCTTGACCTTTGACGCCCATCGCCGGAGGCGATGATAGCAATGCTACGGCAGAAGCCATAGCAACTTGTGCTGGGATTACACCATTCAACAGCTTGCAAGGCTGAAGAATTGACCGTCACTATTCAGCCTGGTCTACACCATACAGCTATTTGGAGTGACATTTTCTGGCCAGTGAATCCCTATTTTTGGTCTTTTCATTTTTTTTTTTTTTTTTTTTCCCGCACACACATCACACCACATACTCCGGCATGCACTGGCTGTTGGTAACCACCCAGGAGAATGAAAGAAAAGTCAGGAAGAGTCTGAGAAAGAGAAGAAAGACGTGTGTGACCATAATCGTCGGGAATCGAACCCGCAATCTATCGATTGGAAATCGCTGCACATACCACCCCCCCCCCCCCCCCCCCCCACACACACACACACACACATACATAGGCATGCATGCACCCATGCCCACATCCACGCACAGCCCCACGCACACGGATATACCTACGCACATGGCCTTTGTGTTTAATGCAAATACTTCAGTCTGTACCAGAATTCAGTCTGTAGCAGAAGTCAGGGTACAGAAGTCAGGGTACTGTCAACATGTTGATGCTCTACTTCAGAGTCAATCTCTGTAAGGTGTGTTTGTACTTCGAAGTACGCGAGCTTGCTTTTTCGTTTGTGAAGGACTGGTGTGTTTGTATGTGAGCTTGCTTGTTCATTGGTAACGGACTGAAATTGAAATCTGCTCTACCCTTGCAGGTGAAATGTGGTCTTCATGTACATCGACACTCCACCAGGTTAGGTTTCTATGCACATGATTGATGATGCACTCTCCCGACAATGCTGCTACTGCTGCTGCTGCTGCTGCTGCTGCCACTCTCCTGCTGCCGCTGTAGCTCAACGGTGGCCACGTGTAGGAGTAATGATATCATGCTTGTTAGGTAGTTGCTCGCACATGAATTACGTATGTTACGTGAGGGTGTGGATGTTGGTGTGGGTGGGTGTGTACGCGTGTGTGTGTGTGGGGGGGGGGGGGGGGGCTGTCACTCATCTACATGCTGGCATATCGATAAGCACAACGGAGTATAGTTGCTCACATGCTGTCATTTCATCATGATATGAATGTATTCATGTTGACGAGCCGAGTACAGAAGCAGAACAGGTAAGCAGGGCCGAAAGTGGGATCAGGAGCAGAAATGATGCACGATCATGTCCACGTACGATATCATTAAAGGGGAAGTACTGTGTACCCTTAAATGAAATTTTCACCAGTTGTAGTCTTCAGGGTGCTGAGTCGAATGGTCTTGGTCCGAGGAAGCTGAGACGCTCCCTTCCTCCTTTATTCGCAATGGAACTGGCCACTTCCACCGAAACTGGGTGACTGCGCCCTACTAGATGGGGATTTGTATGCAAAATGTCACTAAAAGCGCCATTTCGTTCTTATAAAAGCACGGATGACCGCGATTGGCCCATATATTGTAGTCTTTTGGACACTGAGTCGACTGGTTTTGGTCCGAAAAGGCTGCGGTGCAGCGTTCGGCCCTTATTCCCAATCGAACACGGTTGAGTAAGTGGTCACGTGCACATGCGTACGCCAGTCGCCTGGTCATCGTGCCTGCAGACTACAATTTTAACACCAAGGTTCAACTCAAAGGTTCAAAGCAGGGAGTCATAAGAGGCGTTTACGACTCCCTGGTTCAAAGGGTCAACTCGAGTGACAGGAACAGGCCCAAACAGACTGTAAATTGTAGCCTGAGGGTACGATGACCAGGTGACTGGTGTGCGCATGAGCACGTGACCGCTTACTCAACCGTGTTCGATTGGGAATAAGGGCCAAACGCTGCAGCACAGCCTTTTCGAACCAAAACCAGTCGACTCAGCGTCCAAAAGACTACAACATATGTGCAAATCGCGGTCATCCGTGCTTTTATAAGAATGAAATGGCGCTTTTAGTGACATTTTACATACAAATCTCCATCTAGTAGGGCGCAGTCACCCAGTTTCGGTGGAAGAGGCGAGTTCGATTGGGAATTAAGGCGGAAGGGAGCGTCTCAGCTTCCTCGGACCAAGACCATTCGACTCGGCACCCCGAAGACAACTGGTAAAAAAAATTATTTTAGCGTATACTTCCCCTTTAATTTTGCCAGTCAATTATTAGGGAGGTTTCGCTCTACGTAATTACGTATGAAAATCCGTGTGTCGTACACGCCTGGGAGCGAGGGCAACTTTCATACGTAAATCTCTCTACGGATTTCAGTAGGAAAGCTCTTTCTTACTTTGGGTCCTCCGTGGGACTTTTTGAAATATTTTTCACATTTTCCAGATGTATCCATGGCAACATTCAAGCCGCGCGAAACACAAGGTACACACACCGTATACCACGTGCACAATAAAATGGAAAACCCGGTTTCGGTTCGTGGTGCATGCGGTGGACGCATGCAGCCAACGCGTCTCCAAAGCAACAAGGCATGTTTAGCAGTCGTGGAGAAATCACGTAGAGCGAAACCCAACAGCTCTGATTTTTACGTATGAAAATTACGTGCAGTTCCTACGTTATTTCCATACGTAATTCCGTAGAGCGAAACCTCCCTATTAGGTGTAGGAAGAGCATTTATTTGAGATTAGCGTTATTTCACTTGCGACTATCAATGTCCTCCTGTTTAACTTTTTTTGGCTTTTTTTATATGTTCGCCCTCTTAGGTTCTCGTATCTATCCAGTCATTGATCCTGGTTGCTGAGCCGTACTTCAACGAGCCTGGCTATGAGATGACATACGGTACACCACATGGTAACCGTGCGAGTGAACAGTACAGTCTAGGTGAGTACTGCACTGGTGTTTGTGTCAGGGGAGGGGGGGGGGGGGGGAGGGGGATCCATGCCTTACACCCTGCTCCGTGAGCATATTGCATGCACTTTTCACTCGCCCTACGTTCCCCCAACACAACCGTTTAGAATGTACCCGTGGTGACTTGACTACAGCAAAGAGACCATGGCAGGGTTGAGGTGAGTTACGGAATGTGCAAAGGTTGAGTTGTTGACTGACTGGGAAAGAATAGCAACTCTTGAAAATAGGATAGCATGCTGACGAGTGGTCGGCTACAGTGCGCAGCGTTGGTGGTGTAGTCAATATATGCAGATCATCAATAAGAACAGAATAATGCTACTTCAAGTACCAGTATGCCAGGATGGGCTATAGTGGTGTTCGTAAATAGGGACATATTTTGCTTGCCTCTTGGAGTGTTGTTATATCCACGCTTCACTGTAACAGTGCAGTGCTGATAAACTCTGAAATACAATGTAGCTGAAGCAATTCCACCTCCACCACATGCACTCTCTGTCTCTCTCTCTGTCTCTGTGTGTCTCTCTCTCTCTCTCTCTCTCTCTCTCTCTCTCTCTCTCTCTCTCTCTCTCTCTCTCTCTCTCTCTCTCTCTCTCTCTCTCTCTCTCTCTCTCTCTCTCTCTCTCTCTCTCTCTCTCTCTCTCTCTCTCTCTCTCTCTCTCTCTCCCTCTCTCCCTCTCTCTCTCTGACCTCACGAACCAGCGACACGACTCCAAGTTGTAGATATTGACAAAATAATTTTTCCCTCCATACAGCACTGTTTCAACCACTAACTAAGGTCTCATCAGCAAAGGTTGAGAATAATGAATGGCTAGGATTAATTTGAAAGCACAGTTTTATACATGAGGAAGCGCGATCCCGCGCTTAGAGGTAACAGACGTGGTACGTGCTAACACATGGAGAAAAGGTGCAAAATGACACTGCTACGTACCATTAGTGTACTGCGGACGTCATTGATACTTGCACAACCCGAAGACTGAGAGGCGCACCTTCGCATCGTACTTTGTAACATCCTTGGCAGGAGACCGAAAAGGCGAGAACTATTGAACACAGCATCGAAATAATATTCCGGAGACGCACCACCAATACGGCGCTCAGTGAAGCAGGATGAGTCCACAAACTGGAGGAACTTTTCTTTCACATCAGTCCTTGCCCGATTTGACTTCTTTCCACTCAGCCCATGTTCGTGGGAATTTTCCTTGCATCTCAATGTAACACTCACTTTAGCCCTCACTGCTAGACCATGCATGATGCAGGCCTGAACTGCAGAAAGTTTCCTCTTGTATCCAATACATTGGACAACGGCTAGCTGTTCTGGGCTATCAAGTCCCTGTATGCGGTGGCAACGTTCCCCTATGGTGCAGGGCACTATTGTTTCTCCAGCTCCTGTCCTCTGTGCTTCATAGCTCAGAAGTCAGTTCGGCTTGTACATTTAGTACAGCCCGGCATCCATAGTAAGAGCGGTTTCGTTCCCCTTCATGACATTGGTGTTATCATCATGACTGATGTCATCACTGCTGCCACCATGTTCATCTGCACACGAAAGATCCATCTCCTTTGTTCCCTAATGTTATGTTTTTCTTTGTACGGTGCTCGGGCTTCATCAGCAGCAAACGAAGAAACCGATCCAAGTCGGGGTGTTGCGTCGTGGAAGATGCTCTTGACAACTACCTGACTCTGAAACGCTCTCAGAATTAGAACAGCTCTCAGCACCTGACAGCGGACTATCACCTGATCACCGTCACCCCCAAATTCACCTGTCTACGTCTACATGCCACCCGTCTGCACAAAGCACAAACGCTTGATGCCAATAGTGTCCTTTGACCCAGGCAAAAACCACATCAAAGTTTGGCACATCAAAGTTTGCCAAACTTTGATCACGTATGTCTCAAAATGTCATGCAGCTAACACCATGCAGCTAACATTCCATTTCTTCCATGTCCGCTGACTGTAGAGATGTCGATATTAAACCGCTGTGCCAAATCTGCATATGGGGGGCGGGGTCCTGCCTCTGCTTCATCAGTGTCATAAGAAGCTCATCCTTGGCCGATAGTGTACGGCGATGCCTGCGTGTACTGCCACGTCGTGTCTTTGCCCCATGCCAGTAAACAGGGGTATCAACACAATCCTAAACGAAAGAGTACTGCTCACAAATTGACAACGCAGTTAGCCGTCATGCTCGATGGGATGGTGTGTTAAAGCATTTCTCTTGCGCAGCTGCACATTCTGCGACTCCACTTCTCCGAGTCTCGATACGAACTGGTCTGCACACGCCTCTATTTCTGAGAGTTTCTTGCAGAGGTTCTCGATGGTTTCTCCAGCATCCTCCTATCCAGCATCCTCTGTAGCTGGAGATAGTGGGTCTGCCTCGGCAGAAACATCCACAGGCACAGGTGTAGGTTCCTGGCGCTTTTTCGGCGACTGGACAGGACGCACAATAGGTGGCTTGCACTTGGATTCTGCCTTCCGAAAGGAGAACACAAAAGGAATAGCAGTCCTTCCCTTGCCCTTGCTTCCCTCGAAGTGATCACTGCACGCATGGGTGTGCACATTGATGCGAAGAGAATCTGTTTTCATGGCAGCAAGCCATTTCTTGAGCAAGGGCTTATTTTGGAGAGGCAAGCGATAAAACGAGATGCATTCGCTGCCTTTCTTTCCGGCTTTGTGATGGCAACCAAACACAGCACAGGTTTTCATGGCGGAACACAGACAGAGACACTGGAACTCGGAAACTGCACTGGATGGGAAAGGAAACAACTACCAAGAACAAAAACTTCAAACTTCAAAGCAAACAAAGCCCAAAAAACAGGTGGGTGGCCAGCGCGAGCAGCTAGGCCACCCAAAATAGCCACTTCAGCAATGTCATTGTTGCAAACGTCCTATTTTATTTTTGTTTAAACATGGCACCCCTCCTTTAGATAAGAAACTTTGTGAGGAGAACGGTACTAGAAGCGAAACCTACTACTGTGTTGCAACATAGAACACGGTAACAGTTACTTGCAAGTACTTCAAAATTAATGTAAAGCTGATAGAAAAACAAAACAACAAAATGGAATGAGCAGTACATTAAATAGGAAATACAAGACAGAGAAAAACACAGAATTATGACAGGGCTGTTATCGGCATTGCAGTTCTTCGATTAGACGTCGATGGGGACAGTGCTGTCTGGAAGATCGTCTCGGTGACTGTGCTGGCTTAATCTCAGACGAAGTAGACTGGGTCTGCGCGACTTACATGTCTGCATCCGGTTCATGTGCTGGCTCTCAACAGCTGGTACGTGTATAGCCGGAGCAGGTTCAGCTGGTGCAGGTGCTGGAGCATGCTCGCAGAGTTCAACTGCCAGCTGTGGATGATGTTCAATCTGTTCCATCTCCTCTCGGGAAACAACCGAGATCAGAGTGGTCCTCGATCGGCCCAATCGACCGCACGGGCTCGCCGTGGCTGAAAAACTCCAAAACACGTGTTGTATAATGATACATGTATGTTGTTTTCCTGTGTGATGACATTCCCCAAACTGTCTTCGTCTAGTCGTTGTGCATGTGTGATATGAGCATGTGCGATATTTTAGCCAAGAGTCCTTTTGTCAGTCTTCTTGTTTGTCTCTTTGAGAGTAGTTTGCTTTTCTGTCATGTCAATATTAATGTAAACAAACTAGTCTTGTCCTTTGTGTCCTGCGTCCCGGGGAACTGAATGGCTGTGATTCCGTTACACACGCTGCGGGGGAAAGTTCTGTTGCATTCGTAGGACATGACCAAGGAACTCCCAACGTCCTTGGTCGATCTCACGCGAGTTGCAGGTGCCGTACCCATTGCTGATCTAATTCGCCAACCATCCTAACCTAAAATATAGTTCTCAGAAGACATAACTGCAACGACGCTCCTGAGAATACTGATTTTCCGTATTTTTAAAACAAGCCGAAAACCTTCTCCACCATTAAATAGCCTGTACGAAGCAATTTAAATTGGATTGATTTGGGCCACTGACAACTTGACATTGCCTTTTGACCTCTGCAGCTGTTCGGAAGAACTGTGTGCAATTTGCCATGCTGGAACACTTGAAGAATCCACCAGCTGTGTTTGCTGAGGTCATCCAGCAGCATTTCTATCTGAAGAGAGATGCCATTCTTCAGGTGAGTTGCATGTATATCAACATTGACCAAACAGCTTTGTTCTTGCACACTATCAAAAAAGTATCACTTGTAAAACACTTGACTGCATTTATAAATTCATAATTATTCCTGTTTGTACAGTTGGATGACGTCTTCACCATAGCTCAGTGGTTAGAGCATCGCCGGCCTTTAGTGAAAGTCCCTGGTTTGTTGATCTGATCTGGATGATGATCCAATCTGGTGCGGAATCCTCCATACGATCTTGCATTGGTGACTGATGTTAGTCCACCAGTCTTCACTGCGATGAAATCAATCATATTCCGCACCGCACGGCCGTCGGAGTATTTCAATCCATCTACAAACCATGTGGAGCGATGCTGTAATTTGTGCTTGAACAGAGTCGGTTGCAAAGCACCAGCCCATGTTCACCACACAGGTCTAAGAGTCTATCAGCATTGGCATTGTTAGATGTACTCTGAAGTATGTTTGGAATAAGAATCTACTGGGCCACTTGTCCCTCCGACCGAGCTTCCTACTTTGGCGTTAAAATCTCCAACTATCCACAGTTCATCTCTTCGTTTCACTGAGCCTGCAATGGAACTCAGGACGGAGTAGAAGCTGTCAGCTTCAGCAGGATATTTTGTAGAGTGCTGCAGGGTTGAAGCGTAGCAGCAAACGACAGTAACTGTTCTGCTGTCCCTGTGCGGATCTATAGCAAGCCGGATCGAGATGATTCGTTCCGAGTAGAATTTGTATGAGACAATATTATTTTTTAGCCATTTGGGGGTAAATATTCCAACACCGGCACAACCAGACGACCCTCCAGAGTGATACATGACATGTCCGTTGTCCATTGTGTCAATTCCATTTCCGTCAATCCAGGTCTCAGTCACTCCGAACACGTCTAGATCGTATTGTTCAAAGTCCTGAATAATAAGTTGTTTCTTTATTTTACTTCTCAAAGAGCGAGCATTGAACGTTCCTGCTCGGCACTGGGTTTTGCCCGAGCCATGTCTCGTAAAACCAGAACAACATCCCTCATCTCTAGCTTCACCGTCGCTCATCAGGCTCAGGACATTGCTGGAAGAACGAGTACTCTCACAAAAGTGAGAGCTGACGGCAGTTCACTCCGCCATCAAGCGCACATCTTGAGACTCCATAACTGCAATACGGGTGGAAGACTTGAGACTTGACCGTGAGGAAATAGAATAAATGGCGGTCTACAGTAAACACAAAGACACACCAAGCTTAGATAAACATTCGAAAAACAACAGGAAAAGCGAGATCGAAGACACAGCTGTCAGAAGCCAACTTACTTTGAGCGAGCTAGAGAAAAGGCCGAAGAACATAGAGGGATCAAGCGCGTTTATCAGTAGAAACTGCCGTTCACGCATGCGTGTACACCAATGATGAAACAAAAATCACAAAATCATGAATTTCACTACAAAAAAGCTGTCAAGAGTTAGGAAACTAGGCCAAACATTGATATGGAGTAAGAAAGTAAGCAGCAGCACTCGGCCCTTGAAAATTCTGCGTCCACTTCACTGCCACCACCACCTTTGCGCTCTGTGGCCGACCACGTTCATTCCCCACAACAGCAACAAGAAGTTCGGAGTACTGAAAATATGTTGGAGACAGCATTCTGAAATAGAATCTTGTTGTGTTGGACATACGCGAAACCTTGGATAAGGGTTCGGGGAAACAACGAAGCACTTCGAATTAAGCTTGGTATATCTATCATTATGGGTTGAATGGCTTTGAATGCTTTGTACCTTGGGGTGCTTTTCAAGACGGGATAATTATTACAAGCTCTTCGATTTTCAGCACGTCTGTTAATCTGAAGAGAAGTATCACCACCTTCCCCTTTCTCTGTGAGCCCCCACATGTATTGAGTCAAGAACGACAGGAAAGACTTCGAAAAGCAAGGACACCCTGTAGCGAAAAATGCACTGATTACGATGGTGAATGTCCCAGGTTGATCGGAGCAGCCGTTCCCAAGTTATACCAGCTTGACGTTTGGACTAAATTTGGTGACATCATGATGACATCATTATATTGCCCAGACTAGGCCGGATTTATGACGTCAGAGAGATAGACTTTTATGGGAGTAGATGGGGAAATTTCAGTATTTTGTCTCTCCATTGTGCCAAAGAAGTCGGATCTTTTTCGAACTTCAATATGGGACATATGGCACCCTACCGGTATCCCGGGGGTTCGTTCTAATTTTTTCCTACCACAGTTCAGGTGTGACCGCGGCACTAATCCATGCCCATGCATGATGCAACTATTATCATGACAGACATGGTGGTGGCCTGGCATAAACCAAACTTCCCGTAGTAAGTAAAGTTGGTTGTGTATTAGGTGGAACCAGCAGCGAGAACGTCTGAACTTTTTTTTATACACGTACAAGTAAATATTAATTGCATGTCATCATTTCAAGAGAATGAAGCTGAAGACACCACTGCAGCTGTACTTATGGTTGATAAATATGGCGGTAAAGACACACCTGGCAATATGGCGGTAAACACACGCCTGCCCACACACGCTCTCTAGGCTGCAAAGTTCTGGCACAGAGCTCTCCTTCTCAGAACTTTGCAGCCTAGAGAGCGTGTGTGGGCAGGTGTGTGTTTACCGCCATATTGCCAGGTGTGTCTTTACCGCCATATGTATCAACCATGTCATCATTTCGTCATAAGAACCCATTTGTGGGTAGGCCATCGGGTGGGGAAAAATTGACCCCCCCCCCCCCCTTGGCAAAATCCTGGATCCGCCCCTGTATGGCACTGTGTGTCACTGCATCTTTGGATACAGAATCTTCTAAGGAAGAAATTAAGAAGCCCGATTGTGCCCTGCTATCGGTAGGGCCGTTCTCTCTTCTCTCGTCCCGGCATATAAATTCAACGGCGAGTGAGAGAAAAATTCACGGGTATGGGCTTGAGTGGGACCCTGTCCACGGAAACCTGTGCCTTGTCCTCTCCCGGGTCTATACAACTCCCTGGTGCATACCTTCATATTTAAAAAACTATGTGTCTGGGTGTATGTATGATTGTATTTATGTTATGCTTTGAAATTCCCAACCGAAGAGATCAATACAGATTAAAAAGCAACATCTTGTTTGTGCCATCTCTCCCTGTCTTACGTGCCCGCGTGCCTAGGCTTGTAAGAAAGACAAATGTCATCTAGCAGGCGTACTAGAGGAGCTCGAAGATCACCTGATGGCTCTTCGTCCTGTGGTGTTTGCCTCGGAGAAGTCAGAGTGAAATGAGCATAGCGCAACTTCGCGACGGCCATTGTCTGATAGCCTGGCTGGTGTGTTCGGCATTTATTTGCCATCCTTCCACAGCTGATAAGCATGTTTTCCATGTAAACAACTCAGTGCTTCATTCCAGCTAACTTAGTGGCTTTGTGTGTATACATTGCATCTCTTTGCCATCGTATTCATAGTTTGTCACAGTACAGAGTGGTGCTAATGCAGTTGTATAGTTGTTTGTTTTTTAACCATTTGTTGTGCTTATTATTCTCCATCCTGCATTGCCATCATCAGCTCAGTGTGCCGGTATGCTGTGGGTATGTGTGTGGAAGGTGTGATGCCTGTACAGTGTGGTAGTTTTCCGGAGTATTCTCGTATCACTAACAATACTCAACACTCATGATAATGATCTTTTCTTTCGGCCGGCTATATCCTAGAAACATGACAACCTGACTTAACACTCCGCCAGCCATACTGCGGCAGAGTTCTTTGCTGTTGCTTTCCTTCCTCTTCTTGCTGATTTTAAGATACTCGACACTCATGATAATGATCTTTTCTTTCGGCCGGCTATATCCTAGAAACATGACAACCTGACTGAATACTCTGCCAGCCATACTGCGGCAGAGCTCTTTGCTGTTGCTTTCCTTCCTCTTCTTGCTGATTAAGATTTTTAGAGTTGCAGCTTCTACACTGTGTTTGAAACTGGTATGTATCAGTTTTCTGTGCACTGAAATTTCTTGGCAGCTTTTTAATTTTTTTAATTAAGCACATTGCGGATTGGAGCTCGCATTAGAATTGTGCAGCGGTGTTGCTTTGCCCTCTGGCTCTACTGCATGTACATGTAGGCTGTGTTTGCAAGTGTAGTTGTCTTTTGTTTCCTATCCTGATCAGACGTTGCTGGTGCCTGTGACCAGCTTCAAGGCTATCATCTTAATTTTGTGCATGTCCCTGTTGCCCGTGTTGGTCTTGGTCAATCGACCTATACTATACGGTTGCTTTTCTTATGCATGACTTTGTTGTGATTTCTTGTCGTGAAGTCTGTGACAAAATACTAAAATATCACAAGTTTTACTTCATGCACGTCAGGTGTGCTTGTGCATGGGATATGTGCCGCAATCACACTCGTAGCTTTGTAGTTGCAAGCAGAGTATACTAAAAACCGGTTTTAATAGTCAATTAAAAGTGAAAATTAATGATTGTGCTGAACGTCTGAAATCACAGAACACAAGAGTTGCCGCTCTAAAACGGTAAAACAACGAATAAACACGAGTTAAAAGTTCACGAAACGATAAGACAATGTTTTGGAATTGTTCACTTTGGAAAAAATGTGGGCATACTACAGAGAGAGTACAGTAGTAAGTTATGGTACTTTGAAGTATAGAATTCCTATAGTATAGTAAGTTATGCAGTCGAGTCCACCAACTAAACCAGAATTTGAACAGCCAGACGTGCACAATCTAGCCCAAAACTGACTAGGAGTACTGAGACATTCCACGGCATGAAAGTAAACTTGAGCACTGCTCGATAGATAGCCGAGCCCACATTTTTCCATGTTACAATTTTTCCTTGGCTCACCATCTGAGATCTAATTTCACTTTGGCCAACTTTCTTTAGAAAATATCGAGACCCCATGCCCACACGTACCACAAATTTAATGCGTGACACTGTCGAATATCACTTCTAGGGTCTAACGTTATGCAGGCTAGAGAACAACATAGACCAGGAAAACAGCACTTGTTCCGCAAAGGTTTTCATGTCCAAAAAAGCCACAGACCAGCACCCACTTGGCTCATCAGCTAGTAGGTCTGCTGCTCTACGCGGCATTCACCCACATACATGTATGCACACACTGGAAGTTGTGATGGCATTCAGTAGAAATAAATACAAATGCCATGTGGTAGGTACACGCTATGTAATCACTGCTATGGGGTACAGTGAGCAGAGTGCAGTGCCACTAATTGTCAAGTTCACCGCTTACAATAATAGGATTAAGAAAATATGAGAAATTGTGCATACGTCAACCTGGTGTCTGACAGTGTGGGCAAAAAGGCCACAGTGGACTATCCACCCACGGCAGCAGCACTACTACCTGTGCATATACTATCACTAATCCTATGCATGGGTGATACCGGGAGAGGGAGGGAGGGAGAGAGAGAGAGAGAGAGAGAGAGAGAGAGAGAGAGAGAGAGAGAGAGAGAGAGAGAGAGAGAGAGAAGAGTTATGCTAAACATAAAAAATAGCCACAAGGAAAGGAAAAGAAAGAGTAGTTGGGAAATGCGAATGCCTGGTGTCGGTACGACACAAGCACAACCAAAGCAAATAAAAGCCGTTTGTGGATAGGGGAGAGGGAATTAGCATATCTCTTTGAAAAACAACTATAAAATAGAGAATTCCGACAATAACCGGTAAAAGCAGGCAATATGTAATGCGCAATATGCAGCGTAGCTATGTACAATGTAATAAGCAGTCATGGTAAACGCACACCAGTCAACCTACCACAGCTGCTTCAAGAATAATATTAACTGGCAGAGGTAGCTGAGCTGACAGCAGCAGCGGCAGCACCAGCTCAGCAGTGGCAACCTGTACAACGCCAGTGTAGCCAGTATTCGTGTTAAACAATTTAGACATCTACAGTCATAACGACACACTCCTCATCAGTTTACGCTTTTCTTCTTCTTTTGGAGGTTTTCTATCAAGGTGACCCATTGCTGCGCCTCGCCACTCGGGTCTTCCAGGAAGTACGTGCGGTTTGGCGTGTGAATGAAGAACGTCTTGAAGTTCTTCATCTCCAGCTGCATGTGTTCTGACCAGGGGATTTCACCCTTTAAGACCATGGCCACTGGGTCGACATAGTACAGATGCGGTCCATCTGTGCAGATTAGCTGGCGGCGCTTGCACGAGAAACCTTTCCGCTTGTCGACAAGTCCAGCCTTCAGAATGAGTTCACCATTGCAGAACGGTGACCAGGGTGAGTTGCTCTCCTGCTTTGCCAGTAGTGCTTTGCGATCGTCGCTTTGCGATGCAAGCGGCTTGGACTGATCGGCTAGACCCAGACCGGCTAAAAGCAAGCTACCATCAAAGTCATCTTGACCATCAGCATCCATGCCATCCAGTACATTCATATCACTGTGTAGATCCTGACCAGGCAAATATGCCTTGATTGGCGGTGGCTTCTGCTCCATCAGAGTATCCCATTTGATATCTTCAAAGAAGTCATGCTGCTTCAATGGACCAAACCCTCCCTTCTCCTCAGCTCCAAGACGCTCAGTCGGCTCAAGGATTAAGATCTTCTCAATCAGATCAGCAATTGGCGCAGGAAACCCATCTGGGATAGAGTACTCGCCTTTCGTGATCTTCTGAAAGCACTGGTATTCATTCGCGCCATGAAACGGAGGGAAGCCAGCAGTAAATTGAAACAGAATACACCCCAGCGCCCACAGGTCCGACGCATAGCACGCATTCTTGCTCGTTAGCAACTCTGGAGAGACGTACTCAGCAGTGCCAACAAACGAATCAGCACGGCATTGACTGCTACCAGGCTCCAGCACCTTGGCAGTTCCAAAATCTGTAATTTGAACGTGCCACTGCTCATTGAGGAGAATATTTTCAGGTTTCAGATCTCGATGAATTATTCTCAGCTGGTGCAAATAGTCCAGGGCTTCAACAATTTCCGCAGTGTAGAATTTCGTGCAGGTCTCATCAAAGCAGCCTACTTTCCGTAGATATGGAGTGATCTCGCCTCTCTCCGCGAAACTCAGGCCGAAGTAGAGCTTGTCAGAGTCTTGGAAAGTGAAGTATAAGCGAACGAACAGCGGGTGCTTAATCTTACTGAGTACCTCTTTCTCACGATTCACATACGCAACCTTTTTCTCCTTGATGATGTGTTTCTTCTCCAAAATTTTCATGGCATATTTCTGGCCATTGGATTTGTCTTTGGCGAGGACGACAGTAGAATATGATCCTTCTCCAAGGATTTTCGCAAACTCGAAATCCTCCTTCTTCTTCCCAACATCGGCCTTTGCTTTCTGATTGTCATCTGCCATTTCGTAGCATATTATACCACTCCACGTTATAGTACAGTTTATAGCACTTAGCTAAGATCAACAGAAGGAGCTACAACCAAAACAAGAGTAAGAATGCAACGGTCTCTACTGGAAACTACACCATTCACTTTTTTCCCAACTCACAAATGCCAAAAAAATGGGAAGCACTAACTGTGTGTATCACGCGGAGCTCAATCCAGGCACCCCGGCCGCAGCATGTTCAATATGTTGACGTGGACATTATTGCTTGAACACAAAATTTTGCTCGCCACTACGAGTTCGTACTAGATACTCATGCTCACTGACTACACAGTACGAACTCGTACATTATTATTGTACATCGGAAATGATGACAGGCTACTGTAGTCTGTAGTGTAGGCAGCTAGCACACGAATGGAAAATGTCCTTGTTCAGTTTGTTTTGAATCATGAATGTTGTTCGGGTGCAGTACAATCATACTACATGTACATGTTAGCAAGCTAGCCAGACGATCAGGACATGTCTTTTCATTTCCTTTGTTTGGTGAGTCTTCCATGCATGCTCGATAAAGAAAGTAACTGTACTGGTACGATCAGTAGGTCGGCGGCTCAAACTAAAAACACGAAACACTCCCTGGACTCTCCATCTCGCAGACTACTGAACAGTGAACTAAGTAATTAGTTACTTTGAAAATACAGTCAGCTTTATAATTTTTTTATCTGAGCTGAGCGATCGAGCTTGATCGTTGTTCTTGAGATTTGACGGAAGCGCAAAAAAACTCGCCAAATTTTCTCTCAGCCAAGGACTCAATACGCATTTTCGATCGATCAACCCTGGCAAAGGCCATCAACCCCTACCGAATTGGATAGTTTTAACAACATTCTCACGATTTCTAGCGATTTAGTTGTCTTTCCATCGGGTTTTGTCAAGATCCCACCCAAATGGCCATGCGCACAATAAAACAAAATGGCACTTGTCTAAACCTTCCTTTCTAACATCGTCGCCATCCGTAAGGATGAAGGTTGTCTGCTCCAAGACGTTCGTCACTCCTCGGCGGCCTTTTGAGAAGGCTCGCCTGGACCAGGAGTTGAAACTCATTGGAGAGTATGGTTTGAGGAATAAGCGTGAAGTATGGCGCGTAAAGTACGCCCTTGCCAAGATCCGCAAGGCTGCTCGTGAGCTGCTGACTTTGGATGAGAAGGACCCCAAGCGTTTGTTCGAGGGTAATGCCCTTCTCAGACGTCTTGTCCGTATTGGAGTCTTGGATGAGCAGCGTATGAAGCTCGATTTCGTCCTTGGCCTAAAGGTCGAAGACTTTTTGGAGAGGCGTCTGCAGACGCAAGTGTTCAAGTTGGGACTTGCCAAGTCTATCCACCATGCTCGCGTTCTCATTCGCCAGCGACACATCAGGTAAGTTCACGCGTAAACGTTAGTAGTCCATATAGACTGTAGTTATGGTCGCAGTATTCAATGGAGATCTTCCCTTGTGCTCGTTTCTCCCATGGAGCCTCTTTCTTCGTTCATGGTTTTGTAAAAATTCATGTTCTTAAAAAATCATGTAAAATTTGTTGCCAATACTCATGAGTGCTCGATGTATTTGACCATTATCTAAGCTGAGTGGATTCACAGGAAGGCATGTCGGTCGTGGGCTGAGAAGATTTTGTTTCATGTCGTATTGGGTGCTCGCAGAGTTCGCAAACAAGTCGTCAATGTGCCGTCATTCGTTGTACGTCTGGATTCCCAGAAGCACATCGACTTCTCCATGAAGTCACCCTTCGGTGGTGGCCGCCCTGGTCGCTGCAAGAGAAAGAACTTGACCAAGAAGTCAGGTGGTGGTGGTGACGACGGCGATGACGATGATGAGGAAGAGGAGGCCTAAACTTTTAAATGGTTAGTTGTATAAACCAGTCTTGTTTTATGTCTTGGGAATTTTTTTGGGACTATTAAAATTTTAAAAAAAAGTTGCGTATCCTAAAAATTAATCAAGTTCAAAAATGTATTCATGTACTGTACTACAAGGAACATTTTTACAGATCAATTGAAATCTATTCTGTAACGCGCACACGGCTGTGCAACGAACTGTATAGAGGACCCTCTCAGTTTGCGTCAAGGAACATGCTATTTACCCAGGGACGAGCAGTTGTGTGACTGCAACACATGCCTGACTCCTGAAACTGTCATTTCTGTGCTTTAGCTGTGAGTATTCCATGAGCATCGTGGGTCAGAAGTATATTCCTTTTGGGTTGTGAACTAATATTTAATAGGTATTTGGTACCTGATTGTCAGTGTGGAACGGGCATGGGTAGTCTAGCATGCCTGGTGTGAACGTCCTTGCACATCAAGTGTATCATCTGCGTGGGAACACTAGTGGGCTCCCAACAGCAGAATGCATAAATACACGCTCCTTTTTCCTCTTTCTTGTTTGTGTGTTCAACTGCAGATCCTGGTCCATCATAAGGCATCATTTGGTGAATAAAGTTTTGATTAGAACAAGACCGTTGCATTTGAATTGGAGTATGCAAGCAGCATGGCCTTACTGGCATTGGTTCAAGAGTGTCCAACTCTGCATGTGGGGTCTCGAACAGGGAAAACTCACAGCACCTCTTCCAATTTCGCACTGAACAATGAAGGCCGGCGTCTGCACATGCCGACTTAAATAAGCTGAGTGGATTACTCTCATGGAGTGCTATTTTTAATACTCCACAGCTTGCTAAAAGCGGACTGGAACTACGCCACGTGATGTGAGTGTTGGCCGCCACCAGACCCCATAGAAAGGGAGTTCCACTCTTGGATCTTGTTTTGGTTTATGATTGCATTCTGAAGATTGTGAAGGATTTGTTGTACTTATGAGTTATGGTAGAGTTGCGCGTCCAAGAACATTGTTTCCAAGAGGTTAGCCTGGGGCATCATTGTATTGTTGGCAATTTGGCTGCATTCTTATAGCACGTTTTTAGAAACATCTCTACCCAAAAGCTGCAGGAAAACCAACACCACCGTTCTGATCTTTAGGTTGTGGTGTTCTTAGCATTTCAGGCTGGACGTTCTTCGACGCGCGACTTGACTACTGTATCGACGCTGATAACTTAGTGGCCACGTGTTGATGTGCTGGGGAGCAAATGATCCACAGTTGGTTATGCACTAAGTCGATTCCTTGTGTACAAGGCCGTATCATGTCTGTGATTTGAGTTATGTTGTAACCAGAGGGCTTGCCACTGCTCTGTTAGGCCTTGTTCACAGTAGTCGTGCGCCAAGGAACATCCAGTCTGAAATGCTAAGAACGGCGGTGTTGGTTTTCCAGCAGCTTTCGGGATACATAATTATGTTGTATATTACAGTAAATACTGGATATACCGTGCTCTTTGATTTTTCGATAATTTATCACTACTGTAAATCAACAAATTTTGGCCGGTGAGAAACTTTGGCCGATCTCCAAATGAAACTTTTGGCCGTGATCAAACTTACTTTGGCCGATTGGGGTTCAATCTTGCATCATTTGACTCTATGACAAACTTTGGCCTGCGATTTACTTTGGCCAGTGGGCACCAAGCAGCGAAATTAGATCGCCAGCGAAAATTACAGTCCATTCATAAAAAGATGGGTCCTGGCTCTGGCGAGCTCCCGTATTTGGCGATTTTTCGTGATTTCATCGTACACAGTGCAGTGCTGCGAACTTTGAAATTTGAAAAAGGGTGCCTGAACTGGGGTTCGAACCGCAGAATGCACTGTTGCAGGCAGGGTCAAACGGCCTGGATTTTGATGGTTTTTCCCAATTCATTGCTTTTGGGGCAAAACCTGGCCGAAATCCTATTCTTGCTATGGCTTGCTTTTTGGACAAAAAAAATTCTAAAAAAACTCAACGTTTGACCCATTTATGGCCAAAAGCTAGAAGTTCATTTTTTTCTGAATGGACTGTAGTTGATTTACAGTATATCCGGTGCATCGATTTGCATGTATAAGGGCCTGGTCAGACTGCGGCAAATTTTGGTTGCCTGGCGAAAACAGAACAGCGTCCAGAATTTGAATCGCGATCACACTACACATGTGGGGAGAGTGAAAATTCAAACTTCATTTGGAGCGTCAAGTGGTAATCTCCACGAACGACGTCAAATTCCTTCACCTTGGGGATCGCCAACACCTTCAGTGCAATCCTTGCAACCATCCTTATGAGTTTTGTTGTTGTCCGTGGCCAATTAGCTCTTCGATATCGAGATGAAAAAATCAGTGATTATCAGCGTCAATGGTGTATCAGCGTCAAATCCTGTTTGGAGCGGAAAAGCGTGGTCCGTTCTTGCTTTTTTTTTGGAGCGTCAACTCTCGCTTTTGCCGCTCTGGCGGCAAGTTACTATGGAGATTCGGATTATAATCCTAGGATTATTTCGATTTTGCCGCAGTCAAGAGTACATGAAAACCAGAGTGTGCAGCTTGGGGTCTTTTCTGCTATGGGTGTCTGTCACGGCGAAATTCCGTGATTACATCATATTTGGCCCAGATCTGAGGCGGGAAATGGCGTAGTGCGTACAACTGAGCTGCAGTTGTGCAGAAAGAGACCTGCTTGAATCCTGCTTGTACGCACTACATCACTAAAATGATGTAATCACGGAATTTCGCCGTGACAGCAACCCATCCGAGCTGCACACTCTGGTTTTCATGTACTCTTGCCGCAGTCTGACCAGGCCCTGACTGACACATGGCTGTCTCCCTAGAAAAAAAATCGGAAATTGCGGGCGAAAACAGTGAAAAATGTGGGCCAGACATAGTAAATTTGCGGAGACTGCGGTATCTTGCAACGATAGTAAAACGTGTATGAAGGACCTACAAGGAATTTCGAAGCGCGAACAGTGCGATGTCAAAGTTCGGCCCTGGGGACAAAATTTTGACCTGGCTAGAACCCTGCCCTGGAAAAAGCATTACGCATTTGCTTAGAAACGAAAAATGCTTAGAAATGCATAATCACCTCGTACTCTTGAGTCTTGATAATACCGGTACATCATGCATGGTACATGTAGTGTAGATCCTGCATGCAGTGATCACGTGCCTGACCGTCCATTTTGCATACTAAAGAGCATGCGCAAGGCACGGTACCGGTTCGTGCTGGGGTTCTTTTTTTGGGGGGGGAATTCTAGAGAATTTTTTCGATGTTTTGGGAGAATACTTTCGAAGTTCCGCGGGAAATGCCCGAAAGCATAATATCGGATGCGTGCGAGCATAATCCGCGCACCCCTACAGTCCATTCAGAAAAAAATGAACTTCTAGCTTTTGGCCATAAATGGGTCAAACGTTGAGTTTTTTTTAGAATTCTTTCTGCAATCCCATATGGAATCCTCTTCCATTAATGTTTCTGAAGTTTTTTGTCCAAAAAGCAAGCCATAGCAAGAATAGGATCTCGGCCAGGTTTTGCCCCAAAAGCACTGAATTGGGAAAAACCATCAAAATCCAGGCCGTTTGACCCCGCCTGCAACAGTGCATTCTGCGGTTCGAACCCCAGTTCAGGCACCCTTTTTGGACCCTTTTTCAAATAATTAATTTCAAAGTTCGCAGCACTGCACTGTGTACGATGAAATCACGAAAAATCGCCAAATACGGGAGCTCGCCAGAGCCAGGACCCATCTTTTTATGAATGGACTGTAGTCCAGAATGAGAAAATCAATAATATAATATTTAGAACAGGAGAAAAAGGAGAAGGCCAAACTGTTACGAGTTATGACTAACTGTCCACCAATGTACTAGTAACCAGATCTTATACAGGTGTCAGGTCGCCGAATGTCTCAGTACTCCTCGTCAGTTTTGTGCCATTTTGTCGCACTCGCTGACTGTATAAGATCTGGTTATGTTGGTGGACAGTCATAACTCGTAACATTTTGTCCTTCTCCTTTTTTCACCATAATTTAATTGGCTCACCATCCGAGTTCAATATAATTCAGTAGGGTATGTAATCGGGCACTTTGGAGGGGTTAGGGCCCCTCGAAGTAGCCCAAACAAGGCATTCTCACTGTTTAGAAATACGCGAAGAAATGATCGTCTCTCGTAATTGATTCCAGTGGATTTGCCTCAACAGTGTGTGATTATAGTGGTCCTGAATTCCACAAAAAGAATTGAAATGCACTAACCATAGTACAAGCCTGCCTCATAGAAACAAGTGAAAAGTGACCCCCTGTTTGTAAAACTGTCTCCCGTGAATTCCGTGGCAGAATACCGCTACAGAAACTCCCTAAGGCTGAAAACAGTAAATTCTGCGCTAATTCTGCAAGGGAAATGAGCGTAGAAACAGATTGAATTTCCGCAACCCCACCAAAGTTTTGTTGTCCCTCTAAATTCTGAACCAAAATTATGCGGAATCCTGGTCAAAAAATCGAAAGCTCCAAAATGTACCGTGCAAGTGTATTTTGAAAGTCACAAGCAGGTTGGTTTGGCTGTGAAATACAAAGCAATTTTTCTCTCTTTTCTGCAATATTCCGCGGGATTTTCTGAATTCTGCGGACACCGTAGATTCTGCGGAAATTCTGCAATCCGCAGAATCGCGGAATTCACGGGGGGGGGGGGGGGGGACAGGTAAAAGTAGGGTTTTCTCTTATTTCGCAACATAAAACGCGAACATATGGGTGTGGTTTTCACAGGACCCAAATATAGGGAAGGATTCATTACACACTACAATTTGTAGTACAATTTTGGGATCAAAAGCTTGCCCACATGATCCTTCAACCTTGAAAATTTGAACAGAATCGGACAGAAAGAAAGAAAAATCGACTCAACAGAGACAGCAACAAGAACTGCGGTTTTGATCCTGAAACCACCAGTCCAATTCCCCATGGCATGGACAACAACATTAGCAAAACAACACCAAACTTGCACGTGCGCTTGGTTACAAGCCGGGGGGGGGGGGGGGGGCTATTCAGGAGCGGGCTTCTTTTCGTTGGCCCTCAGAGACAGGGCACTATTCAAGAGAGGGTTCTAAGTTCTAACCACACGAGTCTGTCCCCCGGGGAAAATCGCGGAAAAAAATCGCAAAAACGCGGCATAATATGGCATAATTTGCGGTGAATTTGCGGTAAATATGTGGTAAATATGCGGTGAATATTATTGATATCATCTCGCGGCGGCAAGTTTGCAGTTGATATGAGGCAATTTTCAGTGAGTATGTAGTGAAATCAATCAGTTACAAGTCTCTGGTGTAAGCACTCGTCATATTTGAGTACAAAGCCGCCACGATGAGCCGTTGCTGACCGAACAGTGCACTGTCTGTACGTTTTTCGATTTTGACAGCATGTTACAAGGCGAGGACGCGTAGTGCTCCTGACTACAACCATAATCCGGTTGGAGGAGCACTACGCGTCTTTAGCAAATTTAGGTCTGCGCCTGCTAAGGGGGCGCGCGAATCAGGCCACTTCCTGGTCACAACGGACACTTCGACAGTTAGCGGCAATGATTACTTTACACGTTACAGTTAGAAAGATTCGGCAGACTACATATGAACAAGAAATAAGTACAGGGGCAAG